GAGGAGAACGCGCTGGGGAACACAGCTTTAAGGGGCCAACTAGCAGGCACGAACTAGAAAAGATTAATTACTCTCATTGATGAACGCTCACCTGACTACAAACGGAAGTCATCTGTTTCGCTCCGCCTTGGGCCTGGACAGAGGCCCTGACAGCCGTAAAAGCTGGGATGGCGCGCGTTTAAAAGTATTTTGCGTTCTGCTGGCAAAAACAAGGGGGACTGGAATAGCCATTTCTGGCTCATTAGCCGTCATCAGCCAGTCATACACAGACTCAAGTGGTGTCCCACCCGAGCCTTTATTTCACGACCTTTTTGACCAGAGTTAAACGCCCTAACCATTGAGCCACGAGCTCGTAGTCTAGCCGGTTTAGATCAGGGTATACTACTCTGATGTGGGCAGTCAAGCTGACAGGAGCTACATGCGTAAGGAGCTGGGGAGTAGACTTATAGATTTAGTTTACTGAGCCAACACATTGACTTACATGCTCACAAACAGGCCTAAGTCATTTATGGAAATTTCAGTGATTTATACTGTCGCTTGCGCTTACAACGCGGACTAGGCTAGCGCTAACCAGACCCTACGCCTAATATTCCGAATATTCTACTTTCCCTCTAACTCCTCAAACCTATCTCGTGTTGGAGCGCAACGCTGACTTACGTCAGTGCTAAGGCTACTGTCCCGGGTACGGCCGTTCTTGCAGCCGTAGCCTTAGACACAATGAAACAAGCATGCCCGTTAACCCGATCCATGAACGCATCTTTCTATGATACAGGACTTCTTAACCACATTTATTCGTCCACAGGATGAGCTCCTAAAATCGTACGCTTACGCAGCTGCGTCCATTACGGACTCTCAACATACATGCAATTACATCACTCACATCGTGCGTCTATTCCCTATCCCTTCGCATAATGTATTCGACACTCCATAACTCCTCGCCACGCCTCATCTCCCTACTGGCTTGGGCATGGAAGAGCGGATGTCGTATGAATCCTAATCACACATACACACACATGCTTGCGTACACGTTAACGGCACGTCGGCGATGATTCACCGGACGGATTACCGACTCTCCTAGGATGCGCGCACTTAACCGCGAAAGAAAAAGCGAACAGATTATGGGAGTGGATTTCGTGAGCGCTATTCCCCTCTCCAGGCAACGCTACTCCGCAACTCGCGCTACTCCGTACCTACCGCAGACTCTGCTCTTGTCTTCAGTTCACATCTCGGCCAGCCAATTAATCAGGAAAAACTTCACCAGTCCTCTGGAGTTTTCTATGCACTCCGGGAGCACATCCTCTGCGCGTTCATCAATTTTTAATTTAGAGGAGAAACGTGCGTTTTGTAGGCCAAGACACGGCTCATGTGACTGTGGAAAGGTTTCCGAAAAGTTAGGCGGACGTCCACCAATCCCGTGGCGGGACATGTTCGTCCTGTGGCGCATTGAGTATCGATCGGCAGCAAGCAGTGGCAGGAGGAAAGTTGCGGTGACTGTTTCGAGCTTATTAGCTGTCGTCAGTCAGCCTCAACCCACCTTCCGCCTGGGTACTCTGGGGTTCAAAACTGGGTTGTTAACACTGCAGGTGATCGTCCGAGTCATGCAAAACTTGCGTGATGGTA